GGGGGGGGGGGGGGGGTTGAGGAAGGCCTTGCAGGCATTGCTGCCCGCTTGCAGCACAGCGATGGGGCTGGAGAGGAGGGCAGAGCACTGCCATAGGGATGGAGGGGGTCCTCCGTGCATCCCTCAGCCCCATCGATCTGCACGATGCATCCCCGCCGCCCCCCAGCGCTGCTGCACCTCCCCCCCCCCCCCCCCCGCAGAAAGGTTTCTTTCTCAGCTGCTTCCTTCCTTCCATGGCAACCCGGCTGCTCCCTCCCTTCTGGCTGCCGTGCACGGAGTTGGGGGGGGTGGGGACTGAGCTGCAAACACCCAATGGGTGCTGGGGAGCATCGCCCACGTGCAGCACCAGCCCTGCAGCCCCATCACACAACCCCACCCCCACGTTGCACCCCACCTGCAAAGAGCAGAGCAGAGCTTTGGGTCCCTCACAGCAATAGGGGAGCAAGCAGCGGGATGTGGGGGTGTTGGCACTTTGCTGCAGGGCTGTGTGTGGCTGCAACCCCCCCCAACCCCCAGCTGCTGGGTACAGCAGCCAGCAGGATACGTTTCCTCTGATTCTCTCTTAAACCAGGAGAGAAACGCTGCTCACGCGCCGGTATTTCCCTTTCCTTAACCTAAAGCATAGAGTTGATGGTTTGTTTTCTCAGAACGGAGGGCCCTGGGATGCTGCTGAGTTTGTTTTCGGGGCGTTGATGTGACCGCGTGGTTTCTGCCTCCAGCAAACCAAAGCAGGGGGGGGAGGAGAGGAGGGGAGATGTTTTGCACTCGTGAGTCACTTCCAGAGCTGATGCGTGGGTTTGAGAATGCTCAGTGTGAGAGCACTGTGTGTTGTGCCCCATGGTGCCCCCCCATAGGGCCCAGCATCCCCCCCTCCCTGGGACCACGTGCTTTTAGCTCAAGTGTGCCTAACCCTTATGGGAGGGAGCATATGGGAGAAGGACCCCCCCGTGTTCCAGGGAGAGCCCCCTGTGCTGTGCTGGGGGTGCACACAGGAGGTGGGGATGCTGCTGTAGGAGGAGTTTGGTGCTAGGAAACTTCAGCTCCTCCATTGGGAATGGGTTCAGGGTTGTGCCTGTCTCTGTATGGTCGTGGTTGTGGGGCTGGGAGCTGGCTGTGCTGTGGCTCCGGATGAGCAGGTTTTCCCTACAGGTTTTTCCTCCACCCCCAGGAATGTTATTGGGATGGAGGACGTGGAGAAACTCGTTTCTCTGTGGGATTTCCCCATGAGTGAGGAAAGCCACGCAGCGATGGGGTGGCCTGGGATGATTCCTGGTGTCCCCAAACCCAGGAGCAGGGCTGGGTTATGGGATGCAGCACCCATCCCAGCTGGGGGCAGCAGGGATGCGAGGCCCTTCCCTTCCTGCACTGAAGCAAGATGCAGCTCCAGACCCCCACAGCCCCCCCTCCAGGGCCGTGCAGCTCCTCCTGCTCTTCCAATTTGCCATCTCTGGTTCTACGTGTGGGATCTGAAGGATTCCAGATGAAATCTGGAGCTGCTCAGCCCACGTGGGTAGAAGGGGAACCGATGCTCAGCTGTGGGTCAGGCTCCCCAAAAGGCTGCGGGACCCCCAGGACAGCAACACCAGGAGCCCTCCGTGCTCCATCCCCACTGCTTCGTGGCTTCATCCCCTGCATGAGGGCAGATGGGGGACGAGGGGCTGCTGTGCCCCCCCTCCAACAGTGCCCTATGGGGTCTGAGTGCAGTGGGGAGGTGCTGGATGGGATGGAGGGGCATCGGGTGCTGTGTTGGGGACGGCGGCACCGTGCGGCTGCACCGCGTGGGCTAGGGGGGTTACAAAGCAACACTGGGGGGGAGAAGGGGGGGTTCTCCCAATTCCCATCCCACCGGCACACGCAGGGATCCGGCAGAGCCCTCAGCAGGGCTTGGAGCTGCACGTTCAGCCGCTACAGGGCACCGCGCAGCTCCAGAACGCGGCACCTCATCCCTCACCATCACCTCCCATCCCTCACCATCCCCTTCCCCCCATCCCCTCCCCACCCCCCTCCATCACCTCCCTCCCACCCCACAGCAGGGGGTTCCCCTTCCCCTCCCCACCACGGCCGCGCTGACCCCAGGGATGCTCCGCTCGTCCCCCGCGGCCCCGTTGAGTCACTTCCGCGGCCCCCACCGCCCTCCCCCCTCCTTCCCTCTCTCCTCCTCTCCCTCCCACCGTGGGGCCGAGAGCTGACCGACCTTCCTCCCCTTTTTTTTTTTTTTCTCCCCGTTTCTCACCGCAGCCGCAGGGAAGGATGAGCGACGCCGGCGCCAAGCCCAGCCCGCCGCTGGCCTCCAAAGGGGAGAAGGATGCGGCAGAGAAGAGGGGACGGGGGCGGCCCAGGAAGAAACCGGAGGTATGGGGGAAGGGGGGGGGTCACCACGAGGATGAGGATGGCTGCTGGGGAGGGGGGCACGTTGGCACATGAGGATGGAGCAGGGAGGGGGGATGCTCAGGGTGCAGCCTCACCTGAGCGTGGTGATGCAGCCACCCCCGAACTGCCCCGTACCCCAAATCCCTGCACCCCAAAGCCCCCCCCACCCCCCCCCAGCCCCATGTTAGGCTCTGGGTTCTCCTGCAGCTCCTCCCCTGGAGCTGCCTCTGCAGCCCGGCTAATTAAAGCCCTATTAGCACAAGCTGCTCAGAGGGATCAGATGCTGGCTGGTGGGGGGGTGGAGGGGGGGGGGGGCTTTGTGGTTGTCACTGCCCTCCCACAACGCTTTGTGCACAGCCCCGCCCCTCCCCCCATGAAGGCAATGTTTGCCAATTCCCAGCTCTTTGCTCGCCAGGTTTGGGGTTTCCCAATGGGATGAAATTGGCAAATGGGGGCGGGGGGGGGGGGGGGAGGTTGAGCAGAGGATTGAGAAAGGAGCGGGAGCTAAGCTGGGAGATTAACACTGAGGGGAGAGGAGGGGGGGGTCACCGAAGGACGGCAGTGCTCTGCCCCAAAGCAGCACTGAACCCATTGCAGTGCTCCCAGCACTGCTGCATCCCGGGGGCACCGACTCCATCCGCAGTGCCCCCCCCTCAACTCTTCCCCCTCCCCCACAGGATCCCAGTGAAGCACCCACCCCCAAGAGACCCCGCGGCCGGCCGAAGGGCAGCAAGAACAAGGCCAGCTCCAAAGGCAGGGTAGGTGGCTGGGTGCAATTAGAGCTCAATTAGTGGCATTTCTGGGCTGACCCCCATTCCTACAACCCCCTCCCCCCCCCCAGGCCATGGCTGCTGCATCCCGAGGAGTTGGGGGGGAGGAGGGGCTGGGCTGTGGGGTGTTTGCATGCACACACCCTGCAACCTGCCTTCAAAACATGCAGCTCACATCCTGCACTGCTGTGTGAGTCGGGGGCCAGGGCTGTCACCTGGGGGAGGCCATTGGGGTGATGGGATTTGGCAGCAGAGGGACGGGAGGGAGGTCCGCAGATGGTGGTGGTGGATGGGGGGGAGGGGGTGCACCATCCTGACCTCAGTTTTGTTTGTTCCCCCCACCACCACCCTGGAACACCCAGAAATCCTCAGTCGCACCAGGGATGAAACCTCGAGGCCGACCCAAAAAACCGGTGAGCGCCCCTTTCCTTTTTCCCCTGCCCTCCCAGCCGTGGGGCTTTTTGTCATTATGTCCCCCCCCCGTGGTGGCAGTGACCCCATCCCAACGGGGATGCAGCGCTGGCTGAACGTTTTTATGAATGGAGCGGGAGGAAGCGTGGGGCAGTGCTGAGTCATGCTCACACTCAGCGCTGAGTCAGCGCCGTGTGCCCCCCTCCAACCCCCCCCACGGGGCACAGCTGTGGGCACTGGGCTGTGCACACAGGGCTGTGCCACGCTGCACAGCCCAGGATTGAAGCAGGAGCAGCTCCATGGGCCGCATCAAGGGGCGGACCCTGCAGTGACTTGTGCCTCAGTTTCCCCACTCGGTTTCCCCCCCCCCCGCCACGTTTCTCCTTTGCTTTGCAGCAGCAGGACGAGGAGGAGGTGAACATTTCCCAGGAGTCATCCGAGGAGGAGCAGTGACCCCTCCTGAACCGCCGCTACCTCATCATCACCCCCCAGGACTGAGGGAGATGGACGGGGCACAACCCCCCCCCGGCAGCACCCGGCTTCCTCCTCCTCCTCCTCCTCCCACCCCGCTCCTTCCTCACCCCCCAACAACAGCAGCACTGGAACACAGGGCTCAGCCCCACAGCCCTATGGGGGGGGACCCCCCCACCCCGCTCCCCCCAGCACAGTGGGGCAGCCCCACTCCCCCTCGCTGCATCCCTGCAGTGCCCGGTTCGGGGTGACCCCTTTCCCCATCGGTTCTGGTTAATTTTTATTTTATTATTTTATATATATATATATATATATATATATATTATTGTGTTTTGTTTGGTTTTTTTGTTTTGTTTTGTTTTTTTTTTTAATCCTTTTTGGTTGTCTTCTCATTCACAACTACCTCTGGATATTTAAGTTCTGCTCTTGGCTCACAGAGCACTGCTGTGCCGGTGTGGGGCGGCCGGGCATCCTTTGCTTGGGGTCATCATTTTTTCCTCTTTTT